ACTTCACTCCCTATCACTAGTTCAGGTGCCGATGCAAACCCAATCTTGAAGCAACATTTTGCATTTCGAGGTTGAGAACCGCATCCCGAACATGCTTGCATTGTTGCTTAGGGTAGTCAGAAGACTCTGCATTTTGTCAGCGTCTTCACCAACTAGGACTATATCATCGGCATATTCTAAGTCAATAAGCGAGCCACCTGGCAGAAGGTCTATTCCTGAAAGTTCAGACGAGGATAATGTTATTTCTAGGAGCATGTCTATGATAAAATTAAACAAGAATGGAGAAAGTGGACATCCCTGACGAACACCACTTGAAGTGAAGAATTGCGGTGACAGTTCTCCATAAGCTCTCACTCGACCAGTGGTGTTCAAGTAGAGAGCTTGTATAAGGTTAATTTACTTCTTTGGTACACCTTTCAATCAAAGACACTGCCACAGAACCTCACTATCCACTCAGTAGAATGCCGCTTTTAGGTACAGGAAAACAACTATTGTCGAACGCCTAAATTTTTGCCTGTGTTCCAGGACCTGTTCTAGTGTGAAGATGTTGTCCATACGCACTGTCGGTGGAGTGGCCGAGCGGTCTAAGGCGCTGGTTTTAGGCACCAGTCTGAAAGGGCGTGGGTTCAAATCCTACCTCCACCATACCTTTGCAGAGGGGTGTGACAGCAGTAAGGTGTTTCCCTCGGACAACCAGCATCTGCAGCGATGCTGCCTTCTCACAAGGAAGGAACGGCTATAAAATGTCGACCCTAAAAATGTCACGCCTCACTCTTCCTCACGGAGTTCCGTCTCCAGCGGTAAGGGTACCCACTAAGGGCCATTAAGAGCGGAGCTAATTCTCAAAAAAACCTTTCATTCAAAGGCCGTGCGTGACCGGCCTCAAGCAGTTGTCCTCTGGACTCTGCGATCACGCTCCCAGGTCTCCATCACCAACACTAATCTATCTTCCTTTTCAGGTCCCTCAAGCAACAACCTTCCACGGTGTGGGCAGCCGGGAAGTGACAACCGCCCTCATACCCGTAACAGCACTCGAGACCAAATTGGTCGAAATCAAATCCTTCCTACACACTTCCAATTTAGAAACTCGACATGATTTAATCAGTAGGCAGGAAATATATTTCTATTTGAGAATATTATAACAATACTTCATGAAGCAGATAGCTTATTCCTTAACAGTTCATTTGTAGGTTATAAACGAACACCATGGACCAATGAGTCACAGTTCCACACTTTAGGCTATTTATCTTACGAATTTTAATCAGCACAACTATTTTACTAAAGACCGTGTTCTTACTCTCAACTACACATTTTACCCAACAATTAATTTTGTGGGACACAAACTAGTAACTATTTCAACATTTTCAAACTGCTAAACACGAAAAACACCTGTAAACTAAACCACTATTGCCGATTTTAAATCACATGTTACTGAAACTACAGCAGCAATTTGCTTAGAAGTTTAAATCTGTCTAGGTATTGTCCTAGCTGTAGACAAGCAAGCTCTAATGGATATGTCATTCAACATAGTAACAATTAACCGATCTACCAGCAACACATTTTTAAAATGGAAAAAAATTAAAAAAAAATTTCGCTCGGTACAGAGTATTACAATCAACTTTCCTAATATGCTTTGCATTTTCAGCTTCGATCTGATAGGCATGTTTTAATATACATGGTAAACACAACGGTTTGAAACTAACTACCAAAGGTTTTTCAACTAATAATTACACAAATAGTTTCAGTTCACTAAATGAGTATGAACCTGATCTTTTAATGTCATATCCTCTAGTCTTTCCAACACCAGAGAAATTCAGGAGTTAATTGTTGTTACAACTGATGATAATCTGTGATGTATTTTTTTATTATTTCTGTCCAATACTGAAAGGTCCAATTTTTTTCGTAGCTAATTCTGCAGTCACAAAAGACTAAACGTAAGCTACGAAACTGTTTGATAGACATTTTGTCAATTAGCTTTTAATCACTGCAATCCTTACTAACAGACAAAGTCATTCAAAACTTATCTGGCAAAAATTACAAGCGATACTATGAAAACAAACAAGACCACTTAATCAATCATAACAGTATCACATTTTGTCTAAATCAACACTAAAATACGCAATAACCGACTGATCCAAGTTTTCTATTTTAACGACAGTACAAATAGGCGAGTCAGTGAAAGGGAGGTATCACAATAAGAAAATACTACCAGGAAAAATTCTAAAATAAAGAGTTCAATACTTGCGGAGGGATAAGAGATTTATCGTCCTCACTTCAACTTATCTTAAGATTATTCAACGAAATTCAATTCTGAAACAATATTCACACATGTTCATTCAGAACTGTTCATTAAAAGATATTTCAGCCAATTTACAAGTAACGTCAACTGTAACATCTGTAAAGAAATAAACTAAAAAGCGAAATCCCTTTGTGGTTTCTTAGTGTACTTTTATTCCCCATAAAACGATCATACTCCCTAAAGCAGAAACACCAAATGTACCACTGCGTTTTTGCAAATTTGATGTGTTAATGAAAACTAATGAAAAACTGTTACGTTTACACTATCCCAGGGATTTTTCAAGTTTTTTTCCCTCATAGCATTATATTTTTTGCGGGTAGTTGTATAGAAATTCTAAAGTTAGTACCGCTAACATGACCGAAAGGAAATAAACAGTAAACTTTTAGCTTCATATCAGCGTATTAAAACCTATCATCATTACTGTGACGTAACAAATCTCGTGAAACGAGAAATCGCACTAACTCAAAGGTTGACGTGAGTTACTAAACTTTGAAACCAGAGAATGACAAAACTACAGTTTGTCATTACATTAACTAACATACTGCAGTAAGAAAGGCAAGGTACAAGAAGAAAGCAGCTGCATAACATAATTAGGAATAAAGCACGTAATAAAACAAATGCACTAATACTCATCTGATAGTACTAGGCATCTTACCTCAACATTTGATGTATTTAATTTACCATTAATACCCGTGCCATACGTCCAGAAGAGGTATTCTTCATACCTATGAAAGAAGAGAGCAAAATGACTAGCTTAAGATAACATTCGATATGGTAAAATTTATCGGGTAATCACATTACTGAAATACTTTCGGGTAGAAAGTTAACAAATAAGCACAAAGAAGATCTGGAGAGACCCTATATCCGGTCAAATGTCTATATAACAATAAAATGTAAACTAACAATATTTGTTCTCGATTTTCCTAAGTTATGACTTCATTTCTAGCACACTTTCGTTAATACCCTTGTAAAAAAATCATCAACAGCAACGTAGAACTTCGTACGTAAATACATCAGTGCAAGTTTTCATACCACATTAGCACAGAGACTCGACTGTCAATTCAAATCTCATAGTAGTAGAGGTAGTAGAAGTACTAGTAAATAATCGGAGAGATTAGGGTTCGAAGATATTATTCAAGGAGTAGAATCTATTGAAATAAACTTAAAAAGAGAAAGATAAAGTGATGAGGAATTAAGAAGTTCAGGATTTGAGAGAACACAAAGAACAAAGTATTAAAATAAGTCTGTTCCTGGGAACCCTATTACACCACTGAAACTAGCTACGAACAGATAAACTATTAGATAAATAACTATACAACTAATAATAACTTGAAATATTCAGCGCTATTATTAATTAGTATATGATTCGAAAAAGTAGTATTCCTGACAAATCGTGATGCGTCGGTTAAGAGTATAGCAAAACATGTATGTTCAGTTTTATGATGTCTATGGTATGTACAGTATTACATAGATTTGGGTTGTAATACAAATTGTATAAAGAAATTGAAGTATAAAATAACATAATAAGGGTAAAAGAATGATTATGTCCAACAAAATAAGGCTTATATCATACCTCTAGACATAACATAAGAAAATTCAAAGAGGATGAGGATTGACCTACCTTTGTCGAAATGCATTCATTCCAAAACCGAGATAACTTTTAACGTAGAGCTTGTATTGTTGACTCGTAGAAAACCAATTTTTCTGTAGAGAAAACTCTGATATTAAGTTGGATGGTAGGTTATCTGTCGATTGTACTTCATAAGCGATTTGCATACTAGCTCCACCCATATCAAGCATACCGTTGGTAGGTTGTTTAGTAGGCCCTGTAAACAAAACCAGAATTTTCAATGTAGTTAGAATTATCCTTTAACCTTCAAGGTATGATAAATATGAGATGATAATTAATAATCACCGGTATAAAAATGTGAATATCATAGTCTTGTGTGTAAATAAATGACAGGATATTCGATTATTAGGACCTAGATCTTGTTTTACCACTCTAAAGGGGTTTAATACTTGGATAATTTTATTTTCACCAAGGGCTATTTAATGATAGAAAGTACTAATATTTCATTTTCAGAAGAATTTAGTGAAAAAATTAAAACTGACGACATCTGGGATCAAAAAATAATTCTTACCGTTATCCCCGGGAAGTAAACGAAACCGCCCAAGAAGGTAATTCACAGCGATCCACCCAAACAAACCTTCTTCTGTGCCAGATATAGTGTAGGCATGACAGTCTCTAAACTGAAATTTGTATGCGGACTTCACATGACTTCGGACAGTTTTCCAAATCACATCTTGTTTTCTGCAAGTGCAAACCAAAATGATTAATTCAACACTTACGTCTGTGGAAGAAGCCTCATTCCTGCAGTAGCCATAATGAATAATGGGGTTGACGGTTGACTTGTCAAAGGGATATGTGAACCAGCATAATCCAGCAATTCAGATATGTAAGCAGGAATATCAGACAACTTGTCTCCAAAGCTCGAAAGACCAGGGGATTTTTTCTTCACCACAGAACTTCCGTTTACATCTTTCAAAATTTCCACATCTTCTAGTCCACTCAGTGACTCTGCTTTCGTCCTCCATGTGTAGACGAACATTCTTGAGCCGCTGCTGCCTAAAAAGAATGTGGGATGAACTTTCTACATACCAGCATCAATAATAACAATATAATTTTGACCGACTGGTGCTGCTTCTAATTCATGCATTTCGAACATAATAAAAACTAAATTTATGGTGTTCAAATATGTAAAAAACTTATGCCAGATCATAATTTAATGTAAACTGGCGAGAAAGAGAAAGCTGTTGATTTATATATAATTCCTGGACGTAACATGAAAACCATATTTCTGCTCAACCAATCACCTTGCCGACAAGCGACTAATCGCATGACCCGGCAAACTTAACTTATCTCTTTTTCCGTTTCCAATATCCAATATCTTTTTCATGCGCTAGTATAAACCAATTGATTTCTTAGTACTCGAATCATGTTGTCGCAGTAAATTTCTAGGTACTTGGCAGTGATCATTAGATGTCATTCTAGCAACTCGACTGCAATAATTCCAGTCAGTTGGTAATTCGTTTCGAATTCCTTTGTTCCATGATTACAGTGAGTGCGTTTGTCTCAGGGCAGTAGGATTCCTGAATATCAGCAGTTGAAAACCCATTGTCCACTGATAATTCCTTTATTACTAAAAGGTCTTTTGAGGGCTCTTCTCTTCTTATGGACAGACCTCCGGGCCTCTGTCTTGACTGAATGGATTCACACCGCTGAGCTAATTTTACGTAACAAGTCAGCAATAGATACTGTTGAAAGAAGTCTATCTTAGATGAGCTTTCGTCCGTAATGTCCGCCAACTCATCTCAGCCTCATACATGTGAGTCATAGAAGCCCATCTCCGCCACTTTTGCGACAAGGAACGTGAACGGTACAGAGTTGAAAACCTTTTCTAAGTTAAGAGCTATAACGTGGACCAGTATTTCTCAGTCAAGGTAGATTATCATTTCGCCTTACTGCAGTCACGTGACCTGCAGTCCTTAAGCATATTTTAGGCATTATAAAGGAGGTTAAATTGTTCGTGTGTTACCTTATTTGTTTATTGACCAGTCCTTCCATCATCTTCGACACTATTGGTAGTAATGCAATCAGTGTGTGGCAGGCGAGATTGTTCCAATCTTCTTTATGGGTGATGAGGGAGAGTAATCTAGTTCCATCCTCTTGAAAGTTGGTATGCCCTCAGTAAATTTTTGAATCGGTCAAATACTGGTGAACAGATGGCTTTCAAGTTCTATTTCTGAATTATAGGAAGGGTGTTATTTTAGACTAACTCGGTAGTTGGTCGTATATTTTCAAGACTATTAGCTATGGCGAGTAAAACCGTACTTTGGTATTGCAGGTATCTTGTTTAACTGATAGATGAAGTTGGTACGGAAAATTTCATAACCTGGTTTGTAGGAACCCCACCATTCTGACCTTAATACGCCTATATAACTTGTTCCGTTGATCTTCTTTACATCTTAAAACTAATTGCATTTGGTTGCATTTTGGTCATCTGCTCAAACTTTTAACATCTGCTTCGAACTTTGTCGTTGCAAATGTTTCTCAATAAAGAATAAGAACTATGATCAGTAACCTCCAAGGAGACTTTCCGTTTGGTTGAAGATCTCCAGTAGCTGGCGTTCTAGGCTTTGCTCAATCCAGAAAATTCTTGCTCTAGGTGTTATCACTCCTTGCCTGTGATGATGGGTGATGTCCCAGGTCCGAACGTGATACTTGCACAGCTCCAAAAGTGAAGAAGCCACTTCTAATCTCCAATCATCAGGCAAGTTCTTTGCAGTGTGGTTTAGTTCTTGCCTTTGAGAATTTCACTTTATTTCTCAAACAATTCAGGGACAAAATATTAAAATATTATTGAAGTAAGGAAATATAGTGAAACTTCTACATGTACCCAGTGATTGACGACCGTGTTCGACAGGAAGTGCTAGTGGAAGACAAGGACTTTCTCAAGTAACTTAAGTACTTACTTTTGCTCCAGTACTAAAATTTCTAAGATAGATAACTTCACTTCAGAATCTCATTGTGTTATAGTTTGTCATCATATTGGACAAATTCATAATGTATGAAGTTTAACGTTTCCTTTCGGCATTTCAAAGTCGTCGAGAAAACGGTTGACATCTAGACTAACTAAGAAAGCGACGAGACACAAAAACTGATCAGTGCATACATTATTTTAAAAATCGTGTTGTGTTTTAACAGTGATTTTCTGGAAATTCAGTAGAACGAGACTCTAAAGAAATAGTAATGATAGTTATTATTTATTAGGAAATAACAGCATGTCACAAGAGGCATGCCAATTTACAGGCAAGATCAAAATGTTAAGACTGCGAACATACTTTCTGTAAAAGCTTGGTCAGTTATTTAAATGTTCTATAAGATACACTGGCTTCATATAGATGACTTTACCACATAAAATTATACATAATTTTTCAGACTCTGAGACATACAATGCGAATAATTGGCTCGAGTTACCACGGTCGCTTTACGACGACTAGCTAATAACTGCAAAAGAATGCAAGGTAAAGCCAGGTCTGCATATGAATTAAATTGATGAGGTAAACCTCCAAAGATCATGTTGATATTCGCGAGATAATAAATTTACAGGCTTCTGCATAAAGTAATCAAGTCTTCAGCAAATATCCACAGCAATATTTAAGATTCAGAATAAGGTGCAGTAAAAGTGAAAAAAGAGGAAGGAGCGAGGAGAAGTACAGAAAATATATACTTGTTTGAAGCTAAATCATGACTCAGTAGATAATCAATTTCAATAGGACACAAGTGCAGAATTAATTCTTAAGGCTTTTTGGGAAAATCCTATCATGTGCATATTTGTAATATGTTCTTATTGACTCTTTCTGTGCTACATTCCGGTACTCTGTTTAATCCCATTTTGTGATGTTAATATTTGTATTTTGTTATAGTTTCTATTTTTGTACCTTTATTGTAGTTTCTATGTTTCCTTCTGAACTGCATTTGTTGTTGAAATTGATACTTAATTATGGCTACAACCATATCAGGTTTGATACATTGGCGGGTAAACGTGCATCTGGACTGGAATGGTGCAATTTTGGACCTATACGGAAGCATTCTTCCAGAATCTGAAACCCATTGTGTTATTTTTGACGGAAAATAGTGTAACATTGTTTAGGTAATTATCTGTATTTTTGATTAATAATAGAACCATTTCTTACCCAGATGAATTGCTTTCTATTTGGATTAACTGGGCAAGGCGCGTATCTAGACTTCTAGAACTGTTTTTCCGAATTCAGGATACAATCTGAATCTTACAGCTCTAAAAATTATTTGAAGAAGGCGAATCTTTTGTTTATCCCAATTCTCAAGAATAATCAGTCAAGAAGAATCAGTCAATTCTAAATTCCGATCAGTATTGGTAGACTGGATTTTAAAACCCTTTGGAATATCACTAATTTGGAGTTTCTCTTTCCTGAATTGCAGGTATTACAATGAATTCTCGTAAGAAGAAGTCAAGCTCAAATCTGGTTAAAAGCCATGAAGACAAACAGAACTACGAATCCTTTGTTAAAAAGCAAGTGCCTTTTCTTTCCCTCAACTCAAATTGTTCACTCTCAGATAGGGAAGAGCATAATTCTAGGTTTTATTATCGTAATCCGTTGTTAGAAGGCACTACAAATTGTAGTTTGAATGATAATCTTGAAGTACCTTTAAAGAATTTGATGTCCATAGCACCGCTTGTAGGCCTAAAATTACTGTCTCTAGTTCTACGGAGTATCACAGTAGTGGAGCGAAAAATAATAGTAGCTTAGTATGTTCTTATAAATCCGCCAGTAGAACCTTCGGGGCTACTGCCGGTCTCAAGCCCGAATAAAGGATTAGGGTTGGGCATGGTGTTGGCGGCCCCATTCCAACTAAAAACTAACTTGCGAAAAAAACGCTAACCAGAAAAAATAATTCAGACCATGTTAACTCTGCCCTGGGAGTTCGAAGAAGAATTATGACGTCTCGTGATGAAAGCCGAGTTCCCTCGGAAGTCACGGGGCCAATGCCTCTTCTGACAACTAGAGCAACCATTTATTTAGGTACATGGTACTTTCGTACATTGTGGGAGACCGGAAGACTATTTCAAGTTGTGGCAGAAATGAAAAGATACAACATCGAGGTGCTCGGCATCAGTGAAACGCATTGGACACAGGTAGGACAACTGAAACTAGCTTCAGCGGAACTGCTGCTATACTCTGGTCATGAAGAGGAAAATGCATCACATACACAGGGAGTTGCACTGATGCTGTCTAAGCATGCACAAAAGGCGCTGATAGGATGGGAATCTCATGGACCCAGGATCATTAAGGCATCCTTCAAAACAAAGATTTAGGACATTACAGTGAACGTCATCCAATGTTATGCACCTACCAATCACTACAATGACGATGATAAAGATCAATTCTACGAAAGGCTGCAGTCAATCGTCGAGAAATGTTCACCAAAGGATTTGACGATTCTTATGGGAGACCTGAATGCCAAGGTTGGAATGGACAACACTGGATATGAAGACATCATGGGACGACATGAACTGGGAGAAAGGAACGAAAATGGTGAGAGATTTGCAAACCGATGTACCTTCAACAAACTGATCATCAGTGGCACAAACGCATTCACAAAGCCACATGAATTTCACCGGATCACACTACTCGAAACCAAATCGACCATATCTGTATCAACAAAAAGTTCAGAAGGACCATGGAGGATGTGAGAACCAAGAGAGGAGCTTATATGGCATCAGATCATCACTTGCTGGTCACTAAAATGAAACTGAAACTAAAGAAGCTCTGGACAACGGGGCAGACAACATCACAGAAGTTTAATACGGCCTTTCTCCGGGATACCGTAAAACTCAACGAATTCAAGATAGCCCTCACCAATAGGTTCCAGGCCTTTCACGATCTACTCAATGGAGAGGAAGCAAGACTGAAGAACAATTGGAATGGGATCAAGGATGCAATCAGTTCAACATGTCAGGAGGTCCTTGGTGGCAAGAAGCACCATCACAAGGAATGGATCTCTGTTGATACTCTTGCAAAAAATTGAAGAAAAAAAGAAACAAGAAGGCAGCAGTGAATGTCAGCCGAACAAGACCGGAGAAAGTTACCGCACAAGCTGCACACACAGAAGCAAACAGGGAAATGAAGAAGAGCATCAGAGCTGACAAACGAAAATATGTGGAAGATCTAGCAATGACGGCGGAAAAGGCTGCAAGAGAAGGAAACATGAGACAATTGTACGAAACAACAGAGAAGCTCGCCGGAAACTATTGTAAACCAGAACGACCAGTGAAAAGCAAGGAAGGGAACGTAA